AGTGTTCTCAACCTGTAGTTTGCAGATCTGGTCATGGCGGTGGGTCTCTGGACTATTTTAAATGGGTCTGCAAAAAGGCTGAAGAACAGCAAGCATAGCATCGCTAGGCTAATAGAAATCATAACAGAGCATAAGCCTCCACTGCAAAACTTCAAATGTTTTGTAAATCAAAGGTGGAAAAAAGCACTCCATCAGGGATGAGACTGAAGCAATGTCAAAACCTCCGGTGAGAAGGCTGAATCAAGGAAACAGTGCTAGAAAACTCAGAAGCACCTAAAGGTGGCTTGATTCTTAGACCAGAGCAATTCCACTCCGTTCCATGTGGTTTCCTATATTGTGTTCATCACTGAAGGAACGTTGTCAAGTAATGTAATGAGCAACATGACTAACATGTATGTTCCCTCATCTTTCCCCAGATGAAAGAAGTAGCTGTTTTTCTCTATATTGCTGCTCTGATGTTAGAGAAGATCAAAGAAATGGCACAAATGATAAGCAGAGGACAATGAGATTTTCCACTGTGGTTGGCGACTTTTCACTGTCTGGGACTGTCTCTTTTGAGGAAAGTGCCCCATCAGGCCAACAGAGCATCGCTCTCAAGCATGGCCTGTAGCCCAAAGCTGACAATGACATTATGGATGTAATGGAGCCAGGCCACTATCTGAGCATACTGACAGTATTTCTTTATTCAAGACTCTACACAGAGGCCATTACACAGTCTAGAATAAATTTATTGTTTCTGTAATAATCTGTAGTTCTCTACATACTTGCAGCTGAGTTGCCTTCCCAGATGTATTAATTGCTGAAATCCAGCTGACAGAGGCATGAATAACCAGCAAATGATCGGGGCCATCAGTGGGCCAGAAAAAAACATTCCTCTCACATAAGAGAACAGAAGGTAGAACGAAGAGACAAGACAGAAACTAGAGGCAAACTAGAAAAAGAAGTATGAAGGGTACACCATGGTCCTCTAAACAGACTACTCAAACATATGGGCTTTTGAACTGCAGAGTCTGAAGCAGAAGCTCTGTGCTTCTGTCTACAGAACAGGTATTATGAGGAGCAGCTGAGGTTGCTTAGCCTGGAGAAAAAGAGTCTCAGGGGAGACCTCGCTCCCTACAACTACCTGAAAGGAGGCTGTAGTAAGGTGGGTGTGGGTCTCTTCTCCCAAGTAACAAGTGATAGGATGAGAGGAAATGGCCTCAAGTTGCACCAGGGGAGGGTTAGATTGAATATCAGGAAAAAATTCTTCACCAAAAGGTTTGTCAAGCATTGGAACAGGCTGCCCAGGGAAGTGGTTGAATCACCATCCCTTGAGGGATTTTAAAATGTGTAGATGTGGTGCTTAGGGACATGGTTTAGTGGTGGACTTGGCAGCGTTAGGTTTACAGTTAGACTCAATGATCTTAAAGGTCTTTTCCAACCTAAAATGATTCTGTGATTCTATGTTTGTTACAAATCTACTTCTGTGAGCTGCCTACACAGAGGAGACAACCCATAAAGGACCGCCTCCTTGTTTCCTGGTACTCTTGCTTTCAGGCATTGTTTTGGACAAATCTGAAGCATGTATTATCTTGTTTCCTCTTTTTTTGGTACAATATATAGCACAATAAGATTCCTTGGTGTTACAGTAATACTATTAATAAATACATTATTTGAATAATTCTAGCATAAAGCATCAGAATAGCAGGACTCCATCAGCACATAATATCTACTCACGTTCAGAAAGGAAAAATAAGTAAACACTCAGGTAAAATCTCTATTATGGCAATAACCCATAATCTGCTCTGAAATAATTGAATCAGGACTCAAATTGTTATCATCCCAAGAAAGTGAAACCAAATCAGTTGTCACGCATGCACAGCTTCCTATTCAACAACTATTTCTTACAACTAAAAGTTGCTTGCTCCTCAGGCAGAAACATCCCTGTACATCTTCCTATAGCATGAGTTCTATATCAGATCTGAGACTCATAACCCTCCACCAAAAAAACAATTCAAAGAAAACAAGTTATCTAATGCCACTACAATTTGAAGATAAATGTTCAAGTACCAAAGAATTTCTACTCATGATCAGAAACAAATAAAAATATTATTACAAATCTATGTAGATCCCCGAATGATGCTAACAGATGCTTAAGGATATGATTTCAACAGGGAAAGCAAAATTATTTTTCCCATTCTCCTCTCAAATAACAGAAATATGCTGCTACACTAACAGAAACATTTGTCTTACTGTCCACATGTTTACCATATGTTACACAGCAGAATTCATATTAAACTGTTGCTTTGCTGCTGCAATGTAGTTTTCTCTGCCCTCCACCCAGCTAACTGGGACAGCAAGGATGTTTCTAATAAAGGAGCATACCTTTCACTTCTCAGTGTCAGCTGGCTTCCTGAAGCAGGGGCTTGTGTTCTATCAAAAAACAGTAGCAGAATTGTTTCTACTGTCCAATGTCAAAAAATCAAGTGAAGCCATTTATTGAAGCCGATGTCCTCCTGACAGGCCAGGGAGCTGTGCTCCTGATCAGCTGTTTCTAAAAATACGTTCTGATAGACAGGTCAGCAGTGTGTACACTCGGTAGCACCACACTGCCTGCCACCACTGAAGTGCCATCAACATTTGCCCCTTGTCAAAAGTAACACAGAATGCCCAAAGCTATCATCCCTAATGTTTTCTACTATGAAAAAAAGAGCAGTGCAATACTTTCACAAGCTGTTTATTACATTGATAACAAGACATTATAATAATAACAACAAGCAATCAGGAGTTTCTTGCTGCTAAATATTCTTTTCAAACACTATCTTGACTGCACTTCTATGTTAGCAAAGGTTTAGTAAGAGATATGCAACGGTGAGCCCAAAACGTATTTCTAGGACCTTCATTAAGATGATACTCTTTTCTCTGGATGTTGACATTTGTCTATGTGTACACATACACATACAGCTACACACATATAGACTGGGTATCTATAGGTGTAGGCAATTTGTAAGTCGTATCACCCTTCCCCTCCACTACCTAAGATGAGTGTATTAAGTTGAAATCAGAAGAGTACAAGGATGTTAAAGGAGCAAAGGACAAATGAAATAAAGGGACTTAGGGAAAAGAGAAGCACAGTAGGTTAGAGGAACTGATAGGAACACAGGTGCAGACTCTAGCTGGGATTCTGTGGAAAAACTGGTACTGGAGCAAACCCTGGGAAGAAGACATCATTACTGCTTCTCCACCCTGCTCGCTGAAGTTCTCTCTCCGGTTTTGATCAGCAAGATACATGCATAATTTATAGTAAGTAAAAAATCATGGATAGAGTACTACAGGCTTTTCTGTTTAGTCCTCTGGAGAATTTTAGCTTTAATTACATACTGATTTCCCAAAATAACTAGGATCCAATAAACAACCATGAGCTAGTTCGGAACATCTCATATATATTACAATCCATTAGCTGTTTCATCATCAATTTTTCAAAGCTAAAAGCACATCAATACTGTATCCTCTTTTGTCTTCTTTTGCTGTTGCACAAGGTCCAGCACAAGAGTTCTAGTCTGTGAGACTCCGGAGCACTTCTAACATATGAATAGAAAATGTTTTCATATCTAACTTAACAAATTTAATTTTCAATGCCACTAAATAAACGCTTAATCAGAATTTTCTCTGTTACAGCACCCACTTACAGGGGATCAATTAAAATCTTTTCAGTATTTTCTTATCAAGTTGCATCTGTGTTTATATCTTATCTACTTGGAGTAATTATTTTCTTCTCACACGAAGATTATCAGATCAGTTAGCTAGCAGCAATCTCACATATGCAGGATGCAACTCCAGAGTTGAAGCATCATTACAAACACAACAGTTCAGAACAAAATTTTTATGTCTTACTTGTCACTGCCACTCTGCTTGATATTGAATGAGACAAATAAATATATATGCATATATAGAGATATAGAGATATATTTATAGAAGCAAAAAAATCGGGGGGCTTTTCACCTCTAAAGAACAACATGCAAGTATACAGGTATTCTTGTATACCTCCCCAAAAATGGCTTCATAGGACTTGTAGAAGAACTAACCACAAGTAAGTAGAATGAAAGCATTATCATATGCAATCTTAATCTACTTCTGTTCAAAACATATAGCGCACAGAGTTGTTTGGACTAAATTCTAAGGAGAATATATCATTCCTAGGCTTTTCACTGCTAATGTTGCTACCGGGAAACCTGTTGGCAGCACTCAGGACAACTTATTTTAGAGGATACTTCACTGTTGTTTCATTTTCAGAACTATTTTAAGCTGCATAAGGAACTCGGAAAAATCAGTGACTGCATTTTAATTATGTAAATCATAGAATCGGAAGCTACTTCAATCACATATATGTTTATAAGAATCCGTCACCTAACATAAAACTAGTTTCTATATTATACGTGACTGCTCCAGATAACAGCAGATGAAAAACATCTATTTTATTGAGTAAATTCTGTCTAACGGTATAAAATCTGATTAAGATTTTAAGCATACTTCTCTCTAGCAAACAAATTCTGGGAGAACTACAGAGCTACCACATTTGGTTAGAGTGAGAAAAGGACAGAACACTTTGCATTACTACATAGTCTTTTCATAAGACAGTTACTGACTCACCTCTGGGATGTGAGAGTACACAGTACGGTGAAACAACAGATATCAGAAAGTTGAGGTGGTGGGGAAGAGTGGGTTTGATCCTGATGTAGATCAAACCTCAGTATGTTGCAATACGCTTACAAGTCTACAACCAGTTACTCTTAAATCCCTTGTAAATGAAACACAGACAGACTTGAATCAGTTGAAGTGTGGAATGAAGATATTGTGCACCACGCCTTGGAAGTGAGCTTCAGAAATCTGCCTAAATTCACCTGTTAAACTCAGAATATTTACACATAATACAAGCATAAATGTGCTGCCAGTATAATTTACTTTCTGTTTACATCATATTCTTCTACCAACAACTCTTGACAACATTTATACATACTTACCACTGTGCCTAGAAACTGAATGCGCGTGTCTCCAGAGGCATTCCGAGAAAGCCGCTGAAAAAAAAAAAAAAGATGTAAAAACTGATTAGAAGTGTCTCCAGAATTTGAAATCATTCCATTTTGTGTGTCACATCACTGTAAAGTAATCAAAACTAATTGAGTACACAGATCTATACATAAAACAGATAAAATAAAACCATTTCCTTCAACAGTTTCAGTACTAGAAGTCTAATTCATACTGCAGCTCAGATTATGGTTTTGTTTCAGTCAACTCAGTAAAATCTATTTTTGAAGAACAATGAAAACAAATATGGCCAAGTACAACACAGAACAACCTTGGGCTTGCAGAAAGATGAATGTCATGAATAATAAGACTTCTGCCATCTCTAAACATCTGTGATTCTGTATTCCTGTTACTCACATTTAGTATTATCTTTATTCTCTCCTAATGAGAGACATTTAGTTTTTTTTTTAAAATGCAAACCTCCAACGATGCTACTTTGAAAACAGAAAAAAAAAAATATGACCTTATGAAATGTCTGATCACCTACTGTGGTTCAGGAGTTGACTGAAGTTATTAAACAGTCTTCAAATATTACATTGTCAGTAAGCCACAAGACAATGCAAAAGAAAATATGTTATTGATTTAACACAGTATTATCCATAATCTAAATATGCAAAACACAAATAATTCTTTCTTCTTGTGAACTGTCTCTTCCTTCAGTATGAAAAGTTTTTTCTCCCTTCTTCTTCCTCCTGTTAAATTACAACACATATAGACCCAAAATCAGGGCCCTAGTCATGGAACACAGCCCTAATACCTACATGATGCCAGGCGTCCATACAAATACAGAAGCACAGATTTGAGAATGTGAATATAAATTTCAAAGACCTGCATGGAGACCTTCAGCATTTTAAAGACAATGAATCCCAGGAACAGGGCTACAAATCATCTGGAGATATCTTCTAGTCTAGTATGCCCAGCAGAATCAAAACACACCTGTGTCAGTCCCAAACAATGTGTGTCTAATCCATTCTTAAAATCTTTCAATTGCAGAGATTTCACAGTCTCCCTAATTAATTTATCTCAGTGTTCAGCAACCTTGCCATTAGGAAGTTTTTCCTAATATCTGAGTAAAATAAACCTTACTGCAACTGCAGCACATTAATTCTCTCCTCTTTTTCATCAGACAGGAAACACAGATTATTCTCCTCCTTTTTACCTACACGTATGTGAAGAGCCATTACCATGGCTCCCTTTAGTCTTGTCTTCTCTAGACTAAGTGATAAAGTTTCATATAACAATAGCTAGATATCCCTCAAAAAATTTTAATAGCGATAAATTAAATCCTGGTCCATTTTCAATAATGGTGCATGTTCCTCAGCTACACTTTATGAAGTAATAATTACTACAGCCCAAATATGCTTATTTTTTGACTTAACAGGTCACACACTGACATTGCAATCTGTACAATCATATGAAAACAAAGGATGATGTGCCAAAGCCTGACATATTTCAACAATAATGATTAATGGAATGGAAAATATGGGAAATAAAATTTCATACAAAACCTGACGTTTACTTTTATAAAGGAAACAGGAATATACACTTTTCCCACAGTCTAGGATAAACACAATCAGGTTTTGGAAACCACAAAGAAGAACAAAGTACTGGCTGCCTACAATGAATGAACTGCATGCCAAAACAAACAAGTCCCAACCACTTGATAAGCTGTCAGAAAATGGCAAGCCGAAAAAAAAATTAAAGGATTTAATTTCTTTTTTTCCTGGAATGCCCTCCACCCTCGTTAGAGTTCTGTCACTTATTGTGCTACCCTTTTGTCCGCTTTCAAGGGTCATTAGAGACCTTTTCATGTCCTAATAAAAATTCCATTTTTTTGGCTAATCTCCCTGTCACACAGAAAAACACAACTTAAAAAACAAAACAAAACACACACACACAAAAAAAGAAAAATAGAGCCCTTTTGTCATTTTCTTTAAAGGCTTTCAAAGTAAAGCCAGGTATTCTTGACAACTTGACTTATTTTTCACAAACGAAAACCAAATCATTAAAGTATTTCCTCACACAGATTCTCTTTACTCACAATCAAATAAGCTAGCATAGCAATAACCAAGCCCTTTCAAAAATAATTTAATAACCAATTTAATAAGGCCAAATATATATGCATATCAAGAAGACACCTTCTAAAGCCATAGTCTCAATACAAGACAAAGATACAAGCAGCTTTTCCCTGCTCTGATGCTGTTGAAGTGCACTGATATCACAGTATAGTAAATCTTCATGTCTACTGTTTGCTGTGTCCAAAATACAAAACATTACATTCGGTCGTTGACAGCATTAAGAGTCAGTCACTAAAATCCATCTCTTAAATTAACAGCCAGTGGTGGGGCGGGGGGTGGAAATAATAGGGAAGATGAGGAAAACAGTTAACAAACACAGGAGAAAAAGAAACTCCTCTTCCGGGTATATTTCAAAAAACAAAAACAAGAAAGAAAGGTAGAGAAATTCTCCAAGTCACAAAACATATGTTACATCAAGACCAAAAAGAGAACTGCCAGGCTTTTGAGAACCATGTTACAAAAGAAGTCAGCACATTATCATAATTAATGTTTCAAATTACAGTTGTAAATAAATTTCAGCTGTTAGATGTGATTAGATTTTTTTGAAGCATATTGAAAGGAGTTATTTCTGTTCCACTGGTGGGCTTGTGTTTCTGGGATTTGTAAATGTAATTGATGTTTTCAAGAAAATGAAAGGACATGGTTAACAATTATTCTTTTATTTTCCACCTCTTTAGAAAAAGGACCGGTCTCCGGTTTCTCTTGTAAAGTTAGATATTTACATATTCTATACCTCATAATAGATGGTTTCATATTGCATGTGATAGCAGGAAAGTAATCAAATAGAAGTAACAAAAGAGAATGGCTAATTATATGCATTGACATTGTTTTCCTAATAAATTGCAAATTATTTACAAGGAGGTTTACACCGAAAAGCAAGGAAGGTCTACTATTTGAACAAAGACAAAACAACACTGCATGTTTACCTGCCAATGCAGTAAGATTACACTGTTGGCATCAATTACATGATCCTAGACATAACCAATGCTTTTTGGTTGATTCAACTGATAAACTTAATTAGCATGAGTTAAGAGTATATTTTTTTTTCCCTATGAGAAAGTAACAAGCTAAATCAAATCTGAAAAATAAAATATCACAACTTCGAAAAATCCATCTGCAGTCTTAAAGCTGTCAAACGGGTGTGTTAAATAAACATTATATGTATTTTTACACAGGTTACAGTATGCTATACTGCATATGCTATGTATATGCAAACAAAACGCTTATACACACATGCAAAAATAGACAAGTGTATATACTATAATCATATAAAATGTGTTTGATTTTTGTCCTCTATCTTAAGTGTATGCTATACCACAGTCATTTCACAAACAATCATTTTAATCTGTAAATCCCAGTAAATTACCAGAGGTTAGTGTGATATGACTTTAAATTCTTCTGCTTTGCCATGGAAAATTATTTCCACTTAGTTGGGTATCAATGATCTATTCATTGTAAGAGATGCAGCAGGATTACAATCAGCTTTGCCTTAAGCCTGCAGTGGATGAACACTTGCAGATAAAAATGATAACAACCTTAATATGAAGGAGGATAAAGAAGCTCAGCCAAATATAAAATATATATTATTGAAAGAGAGTCTAAACTGACATAGACATTATTAGACAACAAGATGATCTTAGAATATTTTCCATAAATCTTCTGGTATCTTGGGCTCTCCAAACTACTGGAGGGGAGCAGCTGCAGGGAAGGAATGATACCAAAACAAAGACCAAAATCAGTTGGTCTTTGGTCCAACAGACCAAAACCAATTTTTTTTGCTTTTCTTACAAATGAAAAAATACTGTGTCAAGTGAAAATGAATGTGAACTGGCAAACGAAATCATATATATAAGTTTCTCAAACACATTTATCTTGAGCTACTATATACCACCTTTATTTGTTGAACATAAAGCTGGAGACCATTTGTTACAGAAAACGTACAGATTGTAATTTGGCCAACATTTTTTGAAACTTTTTCAAACCATGGCATGACTACATTAACAGTCTGACAACATGTATCAGACTATGCAGAACAAAGAAGAAATAACCTACAGATAGATTATAGATAAAATTTTGAGTGAAACATTGGTTTCCCAGCATAGTGCTGGTTTTCAGAATACAGAAGGTCCTGCAGCCCCTATTGCTTTACTTCAACTGCTCACTATTAGAAATTCTGAACATTTTATGCCATGAATGTCAAATGGAGAATGCTATCCACTTTTTGGCCAGTATTTGTAAATATCTGAAAATTCAACTTAGCAAATTACAGGCCAAAATCACCTCCAGACAGGTTTAATTAGAAAAAAAAAAAAAAGTATTCCCACAACAGAGAAGTCAGGGCAAAACCCCACAGTATTTTACCTTGTAAAGTTATAGCAGAATCATCTGCTAGTACCTCATCTATGAGATTTTGTGTATGTGAGGGCACTCAGACATCTAGAAAGCTCCATCATTCACTTATGTCACTCCCATCTTTGGAGTCCCATGGCTGAGTCAGAGAGGAGGAGAAAGCTGCAGAAGTAGCTGCGAAACATGAAGTCATCTTCCTGTCAAAATGTGAGGATTGGTTTGGCTTTAACAAACTCCTTTCCCCTCTCCTCCTAGAAGCTTTGCAAAAAGCAAAACTTCCATTTCAGCATGTGAAAAAAAAAAAGTGCAAAATCCCTGTCTAGTGATGTAAGCCCAAACTAGCAATGTCACCAAGCCTTCTTGTATGTTGGAGACTGTTTACATTGCACTATATGTTCAGACTCATGCAGCTTCACAAGCCTTTTCACTTAGGGGATCACTCAACTTTTGTCACAATTTAGTGTTCACCAATGGTGGTGCCATGATTTCCTCCCCTTGGTGCATTAAAATACAGATGGAAACTTAGCTCGATTTTGTGCATTGCTCTACCCTTAGCCATTACC